GGGGGGAGGGGGAGCTGGGGGTGATTGTAACGGGAGGGGACATGGCAGGGATAGAGAGAGTGGGGGGTTGGGGGGAGTAGCGTAACTGGACGTATGTATGCAGGCGGAGGTGTTTCACTCTCGGGTATTGCCTCTGCTACTTTGGGCTTCTCTGTAAAGTGGGTGAGAGACTGAGAGTTCCCGGTCTGGATTGGGGGGAATACAGGACCTTGCTAAGAACATCCCCCACTCGGTCTTTCTGCAAACCTTTCCTTCTCTAGTGCTGCCCTCGCTGGGTTTTAAACAGCAGGGAGGTCTCCTCGGGAAGCAGGTCACTGTCATCACCCCCATTTTATAAATGGTGAAGCTGATAATCTGCGGTAACAGTTGACAAGCCAGGAACAGTTGACAAACAGAGGCTCCTGCTCTAACCACTAGGCTACATTCCCTCCCAAAGCTGGGACTAGAATCCAGGAGTTCTGGCTCCTGATTTGACACTGGACCACTTCACCGCACTCCCTCTCTAATTCATCTTGCCCAGTATTTTTTTAGTTGGAATTAAAGCTGCATCACTAATAGTCTCTGATTCTCTCCCTAACACAGACATGTACATTCCAGTTGCCTGTTAATTTTCATATCACTTCCCCAAGGGTCCCTAACAGTAAAATGCACTGTGTCATCATCATTAAGTGTTTTTTAAATTAATACTATTAAAATAAAATTCCCCACTCAAACCAAAAAGGCCCCTAGCCCTACTTGGGACAAGGCTAGGAAAACCGATGGGCCTGGCTTTCTCTGATGGGCATCATGAGTTTCTTGGATCACTGTAACTCAAGAGTGAAGCTTGAGTGGTTTGTAGCATCTCTTAAGACATGGGAGGTTTCTCTTCAATTTTGGGAGCAGCTGAGCTTATCCTGGAGCAATAGATTTCAGTCTCTGTACTGCGGTTGTTGTCAATTCCTCTTTGGCTTCTCCCCATTGATTACTCTGTGGGCTCCTGGGTACACCAATGTTTGTACTCCTGTGTAAATGACCTGAACCGGGGACAGTTAATGGTGGTTCTGTGCAGGCTGAAGAACACTTTGGCAGTGCCCCTCTCTGTCATGCGTAGTTATTTTTGGTTGACTGAACTGTGATACTGTCAGCATATGTCACTTTTAGCTGACCTTGGTTCAGTATGGAGGAGGGCTGTCGTGGCTTGTTTTCTCTACATGGCTGATGTTTATATGTCCTTTACCACACTTGTTGCTCTTGAGCCACCAATTTTGTGGTATTCACCGATTGAAAAAAAGGTGGTGATTTTATCACCGCAAACCTGAGGTGAACTTGTATTTGTATATGAAGGCACCTGGATGCTATGGTGACTGCTGATCTTATTAGAGACAGTTGCTTGCTTCATGAAGTTCTCCATGTCATTCCTATGGTACTAATGTTACTGCAAGGGATGAAAATGGACTACGGCAAATTAACCCCCCTCCCATGAGAAATCAAGGAGAGGAAATGAGCAGGGGGGAGAAAAATCCCTTTCAGACAACTAACTGCTAACGCTCAAGAGGCCTGCTTACCTTAGGGAGACGTGTCATTTTAAATGCCTTTTTTGGCTTCTCTTTGGATCTTGGCATCTTCTAGTTGCTGACCTCTGTCAGCATGCGACTTTGTTGTTTCGCTGGTGATTGTTAAAACATCTTTGGCATGTTTGAATATGAGGAGCTTAAAGGGACACCATCGGCTGAAAGATAGTCAACTTCAAAAACCTGAGTTAGCTGTATTTCCAAGTATACGCCTACCCCTGAGCACCCCCCAGCCAATCCCTATGGGTTTCTAATCACATTTTACTATATTTAAATACCCCTCTCTCTGTTGTTGTGTGAGAGATTCCCCCACCCCACCCGCAACTAACCAGTGGAACTGACTGTATACAAAATCCTGTCAAATGTACAAAGTTGACAAAACAGTGTGGGGGAATTTATTCTCCTCTGTGTCCATTACTAGAGGATTCTCTTCCATCTGGCCTTGAGGATGCTTGAGACCCATGAAACTGCCAAAGGTTAATGTTTTTGGATGGTGTCATACTCTCCCCCCCCCCGCCCCGCCCCGCCCAGGTTCCCCTACCAGTAAGTGGATCTGATCCTGTGATGTGGGTAGTACAGTGTTCAACTGCCTTCAACTGACAGTTCCTTTGTCACTACTAGCAGGAGAAGAGCTCCCCTCTAGCTGCTCCTGTGGGTTGGGGGTGGGTGTTATTTTTCTGCCTTTGTTCTTTCCACCCCCTGGGGAGTGGGAGTTTAGATGTGTGAGGGATGAGAGTCAGAGGGCCTGTCTTTACAGAACCATGCTAAAGACATTTCCTATCCCCTTTATCTGCCTGAAACCCTGCCCTGTTCCCACCTACCTCTAAGGAGCTCAAATACGAGATGCCTCAAGTTACCCACCTATCCTTATTTCGGAGGCAAGTGCCATGGCTAAGAA